TTCACTGCAGCTGACTGCTGTCAGTTGTTAACATATACTTATTAACAGTACCATTGATTTTTAAAGAAGAAATTACTGTATAATTATAGTCATTAAACATGATAATTTGGCATAAAACTTGATGGCTCTTTTTTATTTCTCTGATTTATATCAGAAACTAAACAACAGAGAACAGAATTCAAAACAATTTCTTTTCTTAAAACCCTCAACATTATGTGTACTTGTATGTGTTTAACATTCCCTTATCTTTGAACAGAGCTTATCTCCTACACAGAGCTATCATGCATTTCAAGGTTATTATGAAAAGGACAAAAGAACCTTTTACGGTTTTGCAGTCCAGTTGTTGATCACTAAACATTGGGGGCAACACTGTTTTTATCATATTGCATCGACTCACACCTCGAAACAAAGTGTAGCTAACAGAAAAATGAATCTGTACACATAACTTGCTTTCCTTAATAAAGTCACATTTATTGTAGCTGGACGATCACATGTCATTTAACTTTTTTCGTAATGGAAAGAGTAAGATCATGAAATAAACCAGCAGTGAGAGGCCAAATTGCTCCATACATCAAACGTATCCGGAAATATACAAACATGTGGCCACATAATCTGAGTTATGATTATAAATGTTTTACTTTCATACAGCAAAATCTGCAATTAAAAGGACATAACGCTAGAAAATATTACTCTTAGTAAAATAGACTCGAGAAGATCCGGGTTAGAATTGGTCTTCAGTAACCATTGCTTGTCGTAAGAGGCAACTAACGGGAACGTCTTGTCATGTCGCTGACATGGTTGACACGTCATTGTATCCCAATAGCGTAGATCATACTGTTGATCACTGGACTGTCTGGTCCAGACTCGATTATTCACAGTCCGCTGCCATATACCGTATTTCCTCTAATAAGCGCCCTTGCGCTTATTTTTCAATTGACCCCCAGACCCGGCGCTAATTAGAGGCCCGGCGCTTATTAAAATACCTTGTATTTTTAAAAGCAGGGTTGCGTAAATGAAGTTATGATTTAAGGGACCATTCCTTAATATATTTATTTTTAGACCAAGGGAGAATACGTTTGTGAAAAAATGCAAAGGTCTATACTCGGCGCTTATTAGAGACCCAGCTCTTATTTCTTAAAGCACTGCTTTATCCCCAGTGGTTATTAGAGGCCCGGCGCTTAATAGAGGCCCGGCGCTTAATAGAGGCCCGGCGCTTAATAGAGGCCCGGCGCTTAATAGAGACCCGGCACTTAATAGAGGAAATACGGTAGTTGGAATATTGCTGAGTGTGGTTTTAATTTAAACAACCTTACCAACCAACTAACTTGGCAAAATAATAGATACTACTTTTTCCCCTCACGGCATCAGAATATATTTCCTTTATATCACTGGGTTTGTTTCAACTAAATCACTCATAGATCGCAGGTAAACGTGTGTACACGCAGTAATAAAAAAACCTGCACATTTAATTACCTATCAAAAACAAATACGAACTGAAAAGGTAGTGATGTTTATTTGAAAATCTGACGTCTTCACTGATTAAAGTCATTATATCATAAAGAAGTTCATAAAACACTATAGTCATCTGATAATGGATGTAACCTAAGAACCTTCAATGTCTGTACCTTACGCTTCAATTGTGATAAGTACAAAATTTAATCTGAAAATGAGTTCGTATTTGTGTCACATGATCCCACCTCACCATCCCATTGAAAATGTTTCACATTTAACATCATTACATCTTTAAGTTTCAGGGTAAGTTAAAAGTTTAGTCCGCTCATTTATGAGTCATCACAAGGCCTTGAGTCTTGTGCACAATACAACCAGTTGAAATTGGTCCCCAGTAATCAGTGTTCATTCTAGAGTATAGAATTGCAGCACTACTGCACCAATTCCTATTTGGATGTTGAAATTATCACCCACACACAACAGCTGGGCAAAAATAAAGAATGCAAAACACAAAAACATGTCCATCTCAGTGATTTTGAAGCCTATAAAAATCAGTAGGACAAATGTCCTGAGTGGGTGTCTGGCTATAGACCATTGACCTAAAGCTCTTTTTGACATTTTTTTAATCCCAATGCTATCATATAACTAAATTGTTAATGACATTTAATGTTGCAACTTGGATTCTACATATACAGCAAACTTTAAGCTTTTTTCAAAGATTTATGACTTATAAACAAATAAATGAACATCAGTCACTCCTCTGTGAATAAAGAGACTGAACAAAACAGAAGTGTTGTTATTTTTTAATATTCAGTTGTTTCAAACGGACCCTTAAAAGTGAACATGATGTCACAGCTTGCTTCCTTTCATCCAACTGTTTGATTCAGCTAAAATGTCATAGCTATGGAAATACAATAATTAACACAGATTTTCTTTTGTCAAACTCAGACTTGCAAACTTTAAAATTCAAACAGTCAAAACTTCCTGGTTCCAGAAGACAAAATTGGTATGTAGTCACTTCTGCATAGTGAAGAGCAGTTAACTCTTTCAACACCAGTCAACCAGAGGCATTTAGTTATTTACTGCCATGACACCGAGTTCCCAGAGACTCTAAGGTCATTGATGAAGCCTATGTTTATGAAGGAAAATTATTAGCTTGTAAAATGTTATTGCTACTACCTCTCATACACCAATTAAAAGATCTAATCCCACTGTTGATAAATATGAAATTTATTTTTCTAATATTATTCAAATAATACAACTACAACTTAAATAAATTGATTTTTTTAAATGAAAATGCAAGCATTTATAATGTCCAGATAAATCACGAAAGAAGCAAAAACTATGGCGATTTTTTTCCATTTGTGACATGTCATAACATCCCCGTGCCTTTTTCGTTTATATTTTCATTTTTATGTAATCAGAAAATTATTATAAAAAGATTTCTTAAATAATATGTATGGTCGCCTATTTCCCGATATCAGTGGCTTTCCGCTGAGTAACATGACACAACAACGGAAAATACCTCTTTGTATTTTGTATGAATAACATGAGAGGCGAATCATTTGATGGCGGGTATCGAAAGCTCTGAACATCAACAATATCACTATACCCTTGCCGAGAGTATTTTCACAGTTGTAAGAAGCGATTTTATTGGACAAAGATTGTTTTTTAATGAAGCTTTGTCGCCACAGTCTGCTATAAGGTTCGTGATTGGAAAAAATCAGAAACGTGACATAAGGCAGACAATCATATTATGGCAATGGATACCGTCCTCGTAAACGAAAGCTCTGAACATCAACAATATCACTATACCCTTGCCGAGAGTATTTTCACAGTTGTAAGAAGCGATTTTATTGGACAAAGATTGTTTTTTAATGAAGCTTTGTCGCCACAGTCTGCTATAAGGTTCGTGATTGGAAAAAATCAGAAACGTGACATAAGGCAGACAATCATATTATGGCAATGGATACCGTCCTCGTAAACGAAAACTTTTAGATTTAGACGAAAGTTTTGGGTAAAATAATGCTATTCTGAACATATTAAGCAAGAAATCGCTACCTGTACGTAAATTATGGAACTTATTGGACGTATTGTGCTAGGTTATGATCTGTGACAAATGCTTCATGTATATATTTTCGCATTAAACATCGTGTCCAAGCGTGAAGATTGAGGCGGCGAAAGCCGAGATGTCACTTGTCAGTGACTTGACTTACATTACATGGTCGCACAAAAAGATTGAAATAGTAATTTTATATGTACGTTTGACAACTTTTATGAATGCTATTGTTGATTTTATTCATTAGTTTATTCAATTTATTTAATGATTTCCTCGAAACATCGTTACATGCGGGTGGGGTCGGGAAACCCCGTTTCTGATTGTCCAATGCTGAAATTAGCAGCCAATCACGCAATCCAATACATGTACATTTGGCAGCTTATTGTGATAAAAATGGATGCGTAAATACATACACGCTGCGGAAACATGATCAAGATTTTGTGGTTAGTTTTTGATGAATTTGTAAATGATAATGTTCGTAATTTATTAGGTCCAATATGTGAAAATAACATTGAAATTATCGATCGGCCCGAGTGTCCTAATTAATAAGAAAGTAGTCGGTCATTTGAAAATGTTATCGGACTATGACCGAAGGCCGATGACAACCTGAAACCCTGCATCTATATGGAATTTTTTTTAGATCAACCTCATTAGAGCCTCAAGGAGGAGTTATCATTGAGAATATCACTATCGCCAAGTGTCCAAGAAGATTGGCTGACAGAATTAACTGGCTGGTGAAACAGATGGGTTGATTGGCTTACTTTGACATGGGGAAAAAGTCACTATGAGTCTTGAATAATTTAATTATATTACATCAGGCAATCCTATTTCACTATCTAAGCAAAAGAAAAACAAAACAAAAATTGAAAATGAGAGTGAATGAAACATAGACAAATTTACAACAAAAATGTTTTTAAAAAAGTTCCTGTTCTAATATTCAGGTCTTGAGTCTTGTTCAAAAGAATAAAACAGGAGAAGTCTCAGTGCAAACTGTCAACCAGCATCAATGTTGATTGTCCAAGAATCATTATAAATAAATACTTCGTGTTTTGAAAATGATACCACTGTGTTTGGTGGGACCAAAGGGCCCCAGCAATTAGGACTATTTCTATTTTCTGTATGAACAGATTCAATGATGACTGGGTGGTGACTTGGTGTGACAATAAATCCCAACAGTATTTACACTAACTCCACTCTTCTATACAACTGCAGACTGTAAATAGTAAAGTCTGGATCAGATAAACCAGTCATTGATATTTTGAGTAACGTCTCAACCACTAGCATACACTGAAATGCAGTCTGTGAGATCACCCCAAGCAAGCCGGACCACCAGATTCACTTAGACACAATGTACAACATACGTTGCTGGGGTTCCACACAGAACAGGTCGCACTGATCACTACTGCAGACATTCCCATAAAAAAAATTACAATACACTCCACCCCTTTCATTTCATGACAGAAGACAAAAACCATTATTTCTTACCAGTGTTAGATACAGATGGCTTGGGTGTTGGAGGAGGGTGTTTCCGTGGTCTTCCAACTTTTCTCTTTTTCAGGCACTGGTAATGGCGGACTCTGTTCACCACTGCCAATGGGTTCTAATGTGGGTGCAGTCTGACTTGAGAACAAGTTCATCAACTTGTGCCTTTTCTTTGGAGGCAAACACTGTTGGCTGGGAACTTGGCACTCCAACACAGGCGGACCAGAATCTTCTGATATACTCCTTTTTCGAGACATTTTCATTTTTTCCTTTAAGACAGGAATACTATGTTCTTTCAATGTTTGATCTTTCTTAGATTTGAGTTTTTTGACAGTTTTCTCCAAAATTAACTTGTCTTTCTTCTTCTTTTTCACATTTATCTTTGTTAACCTAAATATGCTTGGTAACAAAACTTCTCCAGGTCTTACTCGAATAAATGTATCACCTCTTTGTTCTGAAATAGCCATGTTTTCTAATTCATTGATCAAGCAATCCATATTTGCAAGAAAAACAGGATCAACAATGTTTCTATGCTTTGACTTAAAATATAACAATTTCTTTTTCCTTTTTCTGTTTTTATCACCAGATCTGCCCAATTCATCATTTTCATCTGGTGTCCTGAACGAACTCACAGACAAAAGTCCAATGCCTGATGTTGCCTTTGGTATTTTAGTGTGAAATCCCCTGAAAAGGTACTCCCCTTTGAAAGATGAACTGTTTGATGATGAAATACTAGATGAAACACTTGCCTGTTGAAACTTTGACACAAATGTACTACTTGAACTTCTCAAGAAAGAAGGTGTAAATGGTTTCTTAACAATATTAGCTTTCACCTTTTTACGTCTACCCCTTGTATTTTTCCTCATCATAACATGAAGTTTAGGCTTTCTGATTTTGGGGACTACTTTTTGTGGTTTAGGCTCTTGAAAGTCACTGTTGGTGGTAAGTGTGGGCTCAATGTCATTGAGATTGTCTTCAACATTGAAGTCATGTATTTCTTCATGATCACTTTCAACCCCAGGAAACTGGGAGTTAATAGAATCCTGAACACTCTGTATGAGTGATGTAAATTCATTTTCAACTGGTGATCGCTGAACATGATCTTTATCTTTTGTTAATTGGCTTGTCAGGGCAGCCAGTGCTTTTTCAATAGAAGCAGCACTGGGTCCACTTTGAATTGGTAGAGGGTACTTTCGAGGTCTACCCCTCTTACGTTTAGGCTGACCATCTTTGCCAAGTAATGGTTTACTGAAAACTTTCGGACTTTGAAGAACTGACTTCTTCGGGCCAGGTCGTCTCCCCCTCCTACCAGGAACACCTAGCTGTTTCACAACCTGTTTATTTGGTTTCAGAGCTGAAGATTTTTTTCCAGAACCTTTCGGTCTACCAGGTCCTCTTTTCACTGGCACTTGGACCTGGGTTTCCTGCAAACTCGATGGCAGTGTGTGGTTCATAAAGAGTGGAGCACCCATGCTTTCAAATGACTGCTCAAACAGTGATTGTTTTCCACTTGCCTTTGCAAGTTTCTGAAGAGCCCTTTTCTTCTTCAAAGTTGAAGAACTATCATCATCTCTAATTTTCTTTTTTCTCCCAACCTTTTTCTGCACTTTAAGTTCAACAGGAATTTCACTTTTAGGTACCTTATACTTCCTCTTTGTGTAAGGTCTTTTACCTCTTGCCTCAACAACTGTTTGAACTGGCATTTTGTCAAATATATTCCTGTCCAGAGATTCATTCTTCTTTCCAAATTTGCTCACTGAATGCGATATTTCTAACTCATCCAGAGTCATAGACTGATTCTGGTTTTGTTCGATGGCTGTACTACTGTCTGGGATATTGTCATAAAGTTTACTCTTTCTGTGAAGCATATTGGCATATTTCTTTTTGGGTGGCCTGCCTCGTTTCTTTTTCCCGGTAGAAAATGAAGGCATGAAGAACATATCCGAATAGCTTTTCTTTGGGTGTACACTCAAACTTTCTTCTTCCTTACTGTCATGCAGTTTGCTTGTTTCAGTCATGGGTGACTCTCTTGCAGTGCTCGGTTGTGGTGGAGGTGGAGGAGGGGGTGGTGGTGGCAGAAGTTCCTGGGAATTATCCACCTTGTGTTGTTCCTGCACATGGGAATCAATAGCATGGGTTTCCCCAAGAATAACGGAATTTGGGGAATCATTTCCCGATGGAGAACCAGCAATAGACTGAATACCACTATCTGGTGACACATTAGACATGGTGTCTAACTTAAGCAGTTGTTCGTGGTGTTCAGCAACAGTTCTCACCCGTTTTGCTTTCTTTTGATGTTTGTCATCAGCATCTTCATCAGTTGATATGTAGCTGGGGTGAGAGCTGCTTTGAATGCTGGCCGAATCATTATGTCTTGACTCAGTGTCTGTGGTATCTCCAGAAAATTCCTTCTCAGAATCAGAATAAAACTTACTGGGATCAGTGGCTGGTTCAACAGTGCTTTGTGGTTTTGAGCCTGTGGAAGCAAGCTGTGTAGTCTTTGGTTTATCAGCTTTCTTAACAGGTGATTTACATACTGCACTGTTGACACACTTTGATTGAACAGTTCTGCTCTTTTCTGATGAGGTATAGTTCTCCAATGATGTAGTGGGACTCTCGTCTGAAGTGGATTTCATCAAGGATGTATCTGTGGATGCCTTTGCTGTTGGTAGTGATGTGGCTATGCTAGAACTCTGCAGCAAAGGGGAACATATATATATTACCAACATTTAGATTTGCATCCATCAACAAACAACCCTTCACAAATTAGTAGCCATGATTACAAAATAAGGTATTCAAATGAGATGACTCACATTCTTGTTTAACAGCGATACTAGAGTCATATATTCTATTCAGATATCCATTCCTTTAATAATATAAAATTAGATAAAATAATCACCTGAGTTGGTTCTTGTCGGTCACTTTTCTCCGTCAAAAGTGCTGACTCGTTATCTTTGTTTCTAACAGTTTGGTGTAATTCTTCTTCATCTTCTTCATCATCATCTATGTCCAAGGGAGACGATGGGTTTAGCGAAGAGGTGGAGCTCTTCTTGCGTCCAGTACAGGTTATTTTCAGCTTTAGTTGGCCTTGATCAAAGTTAGTCTCTTGAATTGAGAACTGTTTGTCATGGCTTTCACTGGCATCAGTTTCAGATCCTGATTCGCCGCTGGAGGAGCTATCAGTACTGTCTTCTTCTGCATACCCTTCCTTATCAACTTCACTCATTCTCCCCCAGCTCTAGCCCCGTGCCCCGTGGCTTCCCGTCCAGGATTACAGTCACTTTTCACTAGCCAATCAAACTGAAACAACAAGCATATAATTTGACATCATCACTTCTTGCAGCAAAACTGATTACATTACTACATTACAAACTCAAATACTATACCCAACACCTATTGTTTTTTAATCAACTTCAACATTTAGCATGAAACTACACTAACTAAACTTTATTTTCAAACCAAACAATGGAACCAGTGTATGAAATAAGGCCCGTCCGACCGTCCGAGGCGGTCTAGATTTCTGATGGACGGTCTAAATTTACAGCTAGCCAGCCCGATGGTCTGGCAATTCTTTTTAGATGTTCCATACATCTGACCATATTTGGTCTGGTTAAATCCATTTTTTGCTGGTAACATTTTGTAGTTACAAGCCCTGATGTCTGGCTGGATTTTTGGCTTATTTCATACACTGATGGAACATTTTAACATTCATTACTCATTAACTGGGGATACACATAGCCATGTGTCTATTAGTTTCGTATTTTAGCAAAAAAGCTAGAGGGACTGTTTTGCTTTCCAAAATCTACTTATTTCACAGGAACCACTGTTCTGAAAAGAAAACTTGTTGTATATGACAAAAGGTGTCTACTCCTGTCAAATGTTTACTGGCATTTGTCTTGACCTAGAGTAGAGTACCAACATATTTGTTAAACCCTGCTTAACATGCAAACAATATGATGGTCACATTTATCATGTTCAGAGACCATGGCAATTAATTCTTGTCAGGACAAACAGAGGTTCTGACACCCCCCTGGTGTGTTCTGGAAGCAATTAAAACTGTACAAACAAATATAACTGGCTTGGCTCAAATTTCTCTGGCAATAGTGGAGCAGCCTTTTCGTCACCTTACATCTGATGAATATCCATAAAAGCCATGCTAGTTCACAAGCTTTAAACTACTGAATTGTTCCAGCAATAGGTGTCCTCACTGACTTGATGCATTTAAAGACTTTACAAATTACGTCAATCAAAATATAGGTTTACATTAGTCCTTTGGATTAGTTTTGAAACAAAACTCTACAAATTTCACAGGATGGCTGAATCAGATTTTACGTCAGTTTAATAACCAAAACAAAAAAGATTTTCCATCATATAACAAGAACACTTATGAACACTGTCATATGTACATCTACTTGAAGACAAATAGACTCCATTTCCCATTCCATACAAAATTAAATCCTTTCAAATTTCTACTTTAACTTGGACATATATTGGGGGTCAAATGACAGGGAACTGACAAGATAAAAGTATAGTTCCATGTGCCCATACATACTAAGCTTGGTAATAGCTAAAATATAAAAACATTAGTTGTTTTGATATGTAACAAATACCACTACCACACAACTCTGCATCAGATTCATTATACTTTGAGATGCAGATATGTTTCACATGCCAGACATGCCACTTAGCATTCAGTGCTGACATGTCTGTAAACAAAGCCTAGGTTCAACGTTCTCAGAGTTTCTTGTTAATGTATTTATCTTTCCTTCTCAACATATGGATTATCATAAGACCATCTTGGATGATCAAAGATCTTCTAGTAAAACACAGATCAATGACTGTTATGCAGTCTACAAAGAATTAACCTTTCCATCATGGTAATATGAACACTTATACACATGATACATCTGCGCTGGGCAAAGAATAGAAATGCAGGGCCAAATTCAGCCCCTCCTGACAACTTTTCAAAAAATGAAAACATTCCATGTGTTTGACAGTCAGTGCATGAATGTTCAATATATGAAACTCTTCATTTTCAAGATGATCAACATGTGTGTTCAAACAGAGCCTTGTCACCAAAGTCTATGTGACACCTAGATCAACATGTTTACATGTAGTCCTTTTTGTACAAAAGCGTTCACAAACGTTTAGAAACAAACACAAATAACTGTTTCTGAATGTTAAACCCTAATAACCTAACTGTGATATGTATATAATCCACAAGTAACACCAATTTAAGAAATCTGCAGTAGAGATCATCATCAGAAAGTACAAAGTGTTCAGAGAATGGCACTGGAAGTTAAGCAACAGAAAGGCTAGATATCATTCTGACACGTAAACATTCTGTGTTTCCCTGCTGTCAAGACAGAGTAGGCATGCTACAGTCATAAATGTGTAATGCCTGAGTTACATTTGAGGAAACCCATCACTGAGCAATGCGAGTGCTGGTGTGGTGAGCATTTTTCAGACTGAACTATTAAGCAAAGAGTATAAAGACTAGGCCTATAATTTCAAAAGGTATGTTTATGAATCAAATTACAATTAATTTCAAAATATGATTTAACAACTAAAATAGTATATTAAGTCATAAGCAAAACGACGCCAGGCACAGATACATCACACGAAAGATGCAACAGTATTGAGTACAAACGGTGCACACGCTCTTCTAACCCGAGTCACAACAAACGAAAAAAAGAAGAGTTCTTCCGCTTTCTGAGGCATGGTTCGCGCGAGAGTGAGATGAAGTTGTGATGTCTGCATACTCCACTCTGCTTTCTAAGATCAGTAAAAGGTCGTAAGACATGTGCGTGGGACAGATGCACTGACTAATATAGCACTCAGTAGCTAGAACATATCTGTTTAAAAGCTGAGACATCGCTACTTCTCCAGTTGTAATTTGCAACAAGGTACGCGCCAAAATCACACATAAATAATGCGATTATCCATGCAATATGTGACGTACTAACGAGATAGTATGGTCAAAACAATCAAATGCATAGCTTACCTGTAGAATTTATCAAAGTAAGTATCATCGATAACAAAATATTCAGATAATCGTATTTCTAATACACATCTCTTCTACGCCATAGTTCACACAGAAAATATGGCGTCTGAGGTTTGGAGGTTCGAAGGGGAGAACAACAAGTGTTGAAAATAAAAGTTAGAAGTTTACAAAAATAAAATGTCATAACCTTTTACTAACTAATTTTTAATCTTTGCTGTACGAATTGGTTCCATGAGTAAAGTATACCTGTATCCTGCAATTCTTTCACTCTTTGTGCTGCCTTGATAGTAGACCCACATCCGAATTTCCTGTCGGGTCTCTTAAAGGTTGTTTTGGTGTTCATATGCAAATCTTGCGATATTTACGAATACGAAAAAGTGATGTATTTGTAACCACTATACGTAGCATTTAAAAAAAGAAATTATGTCAAAATGTGGTTATGCGACTTGGACAAAAGCAATAAAATCTGTCGGGAAACTCCCACAATGCACTATTAAACATGGATGCCTCCAGGCAGGTGCTTGCTAAAATGTGGAAAGGTCAGGCATCGCTAATTGTCGTTATGATGTCATGTTTTCACGGGAAATAAACCGTGCCGTTTAATGTTACCACAAGCTTCAATTCAATGGAAGTCAGCGGTCTATTTAGGCAATCAGGCTATTAGATGTTGAGGAACATGAAACGCAATAGCTTGTTTGTTCAGTTTTCGATCACCATGAATCATATTGGAATCTCGATTCGGAATTTCAGACATAGATCCTTTGAGTAGAAAGCCTGCTCACACATGAACCAATGACAAAACTAATTTGGAAAATAACATTTCAACGCGGAATCGTAACACAGTCTGTCCGCAACGTTCTATCGTTGTTTTGGATTGTCAAGCCAAACTCATTGCTGATTAGTTTTTTAGTTCACATGACAGCACCCTAATTCAATACACGGCCCCCTGTCCACCATCATTTATTCCATAATTATGAATAGCAGTGTTCACGAATGATGTTTTAAAGTAGCAGAACACTGGGTCCTGTAAGTTTCAGATGTCTGTCTGACCCATTGAAAATTCACAGGACCCATAGGTGAGGTGAGGTGAAAGTGGGTTTATCGTCGTGCTTGAGAATATTTCGCTCATATGACGATGTGTATGTGAATGTGTATGTGCGGCTGCTTGTACTAGCGCAGACTTACAGTTGGTTTTATAGTGATAGCCCACTGAGATACCATGCCGCAGTGAAGCATGAATACCTCACTCAGACACATTATACTGACTCTGAGCCGACCAGTCCTTGTTGTACCCATTAATGCCGAGCACCAGGCAGGGACCAACAAGTACCATATTTTAACGTCTTTTGGTATGACGCGGTCAGGGATCAAACCCGCGACCTTCTGCTCTCCGGGCAGACGCTCTAACCACTACACCAGGGAGGCGGTTTACAGGACCCATAGAATAAAATTAAACACACACTTCAGATTTAACATTTCTTATAATTGGCATTGAAATTATTAACAAACATAAGATTTATAAACAGCAACCAAGTGTCACATGTCACATATAACAACTTCAGTCAAAGTCATTGTGAAATATAGTCAGACACTGGGGCCGGCGGGTTGTAGACTTCTATTGGACCGTTGTCGGATTTGTCAGAGGGTCAGATGCTATTCATGAACACTGTAGTGAAATTCTGAATAGTTTCCATGTCAGATTCATCTTTGTTATCCTAAAAGCGGCGTAAAACCCAACTCACTCACTCACTCATCTTTGTTATCACATTGCATACACTCTTGATGAAGTTGTAGCTAGTCATGCTTTAGAGAGATCAAGATGTTTAAAACTGCTTCAGAATTATAGTCCTCATATGCTAGTCACTGATAACAACAGGGGGGAGTTGGGGTAGCCTAGTGGTTAAAGCATTCGCTCATGCCGAAGACCCGGGTTCGATTCCCCACATGGGCACAATGTGTGAAGCCCATTTCAGGTGTCCCCTGCCGTGACATTGCTGGAATATTGTTAAAGTGGCGTAAAACGAAACTCACCGATGGACCCGTGAAGATCCGGGGTAGAATAGGTCTTCAGCAACCCATGCTTGCCACAAAAGGCGACTATGCTTGTCGTAAGAGGCGACTAACGGGATCGGGTGATCAGGCTCGCTGACTTGGTTGACACATGTCATCGGTTCCCAATTGCGCAGATCGATGCTCATGCTGTTGATCACTGGATTGGCTGGTCCAGACTCGATTATTTACAGTCCGCTGACATATAGTGTGGCGTAAAACTAAACTCACTCACTCCCTCACTTCCTCACTGATGACAACCATCAATCGATTCTTACTTGTCCTCAATCAAATATGGCATTCATGGATGGATGTATTTCAAACTCTCTATCCTTCTGTGTTGTTCCAGGGGCATTGACAGGTTCAAGATGCATGTGTCGCCCAACATCCAGGAAAACATTGCAGTCAGCATTGCGACAGCTATCTTTAAGGCCTACATACAATAGTCAAGCACGGCTTTCTTCCAGCCTTGCTGATCAAGCTGAAGTTCCACTCAATGAAAACCAGACAAGGATCAAGCCAGTGTGTCGAACCTCAGAGAACAACCCTGTATGTACATTCTGTGAACTGTCTCTGATCCAATTTTGTTCTTACAACATGCAATAGAGCTGTGGGTACTTTGTGCAACCATGGTTGTCACAAAATACATACTAATTCTGGAAATACTTTAAACTGATCAACCCATGAAGATCTGGGTTAGAATGTGGTCTTCGGCAACTCATGCTTGCCATAAGATGCGACTGATGGGATTGGGTGGTCAGATATGCTGTCTTATTTGGTAGACACATGTCATTGTATCCCAGTTGCGTAAATCGATGTTCATGCTGTTGATCACTGGATTGTCTGGTCCAAACTCGATTATTTAAGTGTTAAGTGGAAAGAGAATGTGATAACTTGAATTTTATTGAGAAAATGGCCAGTGGAAAGGAGAATGCTTTAATATATAACTTCACATTGTGCATGGGTATTGAGGTAGCCTTAAGTACTGTCAGAAATAGAAAAAAACTGGGTTTTTTTTTCACATTTATATGTACAATTTATGTAGTTAATATGTGAAAGTGTGAAATATCTGTTAAAGTTCAACCTAACTAGAGTCTCAGTGGTAGGGAGATAGGAAACTTTAAAGAAGGACTTTACTGAGGACAGATTAGTGCAGAAATGAGCAATGCGTTTTTTATGTGTTGACTTATTTGGAACAGATCATGGCTTTATGCAAATTAGAGTGCTTTGATATTGTGTTACAAAGGACTCTTTTTAAATGCCCATTTGAAAATAGACGATAGGTGACGTAAAAGATAATAACTTTAATACTAAACTATTAAGGATGTAGCTACCATGGAGTCTAACAAACAGGTAGGAGGGTCGTCTCAAAAGCAAAACCAGGACATGTGTCACAGACGATGGTTGGGGTCGGGCTGGGGGATAGAGATATCAGCTAAGATAAAATAATCCTTTAGGGGAATTAAACTGGGGAAGTAAATGGCATGTCATAACCACTTACAAATAATATCCAGTCCTGTCGATCTTGTGGTAATGCCACTTATATATTTTGAGATATTTGATACGATGGCTGATTTAAGCTTTTCTATGGGTATCATACTCTTTTACATATCACAACATAAACTTAATGAAAGTAAGACACGTTATATGTTAATCAGTAGATGAGACATATTCAACACATAAGAGAAAGCATAAAATATCTTTGAGATGGTCCCTTGTGCCTGTAGGCAGCACATGCATTTCATGCCATGTAAATCAATTGTACGTCGTCATACCTGGCTGAGCAACCTAATTGCTATATATAGTCTGATCTATTGTTTTCAGCCTCTATTCATATTTTAAAAAAAAACTTTTTCCTGATTTTACGAGTAAACATGCTCTTCTTGATATCCTATTACGCGTCCCATTGAACGCCCAGTTAGGCCGATGTTTTTTTTTTTGACATATGCTATTTGCAATTGTGCAAATTTAGGGATACAGAGTAACAGCCTAAAACCCTTCTTTTTCTATTTCCGACAGTAGTTTAGTGTTTAAAGCATTCACTTCTTACACTACGTGCAATGTGTGAAGCCCATTTCTGGTGTCCCTAGCTCTGAGAGTGCTGGAATATAGCTAAAAGTGCTGTAAAACATTTCTCACTCACAATTTGCATTTCATGAAAACAGCTGACCAACACATAGCTTTTGTGTTAAAAAATTATGCTTTTCTCCCAAGTTGCCTGGAACATGGCACCCTTGTCAGGAAAACAGGCTCTTTATCAATGTTTATGAAATTGGGCAAATCTGGAACTAGTCTATAGTCTGTTTGCATTGAAAACATACCAATGAATGTCAATTTAAACAAAAAAGTAAATCGAATAAGATGAAATTAAGATTGCAAATCCTCATAATTTTACCTTGCCAACTGACTATTTAAATCTCAGAATTTTATTCAACTTAGTTTCAAATCGTTATTTTTGGTTTGTATTACAAGGGTGTATGCACATTAAATGAAACACTGAGAACAAGTAGAGTTGGTCTAAGTTAACGCTCATCAGGAACCGCACGTGCATTTGTTTCACTGTTCCATCTACTGCGCTCACCCCCTTGTAATACAAACCAATAATAGCGATTTGAATGTATGATCGTTTGTTAAACAACTTTTGTCCTACAATGAACAAAATTCTGAGATTTAAATGTTCAGTTCGCAAGGCAAATTTATGAGGATTCGCAGTCTTAATTTCACTTTATTTGATTTACTTTTTTGTTTAAAGTGAAATTCATCGGCACGTTTTCACTGCAAACAGACTTTAACAATAACCAACAATGATAAATTTGTGTTAAGAGTGTTGGATTTTCACTTTTATACATAACAATATGATTGAGAATGAGAGAATGGATGGGAATTGTGAATACTAGACCATAGTACATCTAGGTTATTTTGTACAAATTTTAAACTTATCCTATCTCACGGTATACACCTCTCTTCTTCTTCTACGACCATGTGTGGAAACGTGCTGTAGGCTAAGTTGAATCAAAACTTCCTGGCCTCTGGCCTCTACCCTCCCCCGAGCTCTGCCCCCACTCCGATAACAATACCTGTCAATCATCTCAGTAAGCATGCAAATCGCTCAGATGATCATGTGACGCTCTGTGCCTGTCATTCTCTTCTTGTCGCTATGTGGTGTGGACGTGTGCTGATTTCTATAGAAGATTTGATTGTGAAGAAAGTTCAAGATGGGTAGATCTCGTCGGAGTACTTCTACAAAGCGCAAACATTGCGACAAGTGCAATAGCAACTTTTCGGTGGCGGATCCACATACGTTGTGTGTGGATTGCCTGGGATGTTGTGATTGGTCACACAGGTGCACTTTCTGTGCTACTCTTGATGATGATGCATTTTCAGAGTATCAGAGGGTGGCTTCTCGACGTTTGTCGGATAGAGATCGTCGTAGACCTTCAGAGGGGCCTTCCTCTGCTAAACGATCGAAAACTGAATGTCGCACCAAAACACCTGCTCGTCGGTCCAAGTCCCCGTCACCAAATGAGGAATTTCTATGTGAGGCTTCCGATTCCTACTTGAGTGAGGATCTCCGGCAATTATTCCGTCCACAAGTGATCCTACGCTGATTGTGTCTAGTGCGGCGTTTGGTTTGAGGCCCAACATTCACTCTCTAGAAATGGATGCGTTCGGTTCGGCGCTTACTACTTTGGTGATTGGCTCTACGTTTTCTACGCAGGCGCCACTTGTCTCCAGTTCGTCGCTTTGTCCCGGTTCGGCGCTCTCTTACCCTCCTGTGGTATCTACTAGTATGACGTTGAGTTCCAGTTCGGCGCTCTCTACCTCTGCCTCGTATGCCGTCCCGCCTGTAAATGAAGCACTGCCGACTTCCAGTACACCATTTACCTCTGATGTGACGAGTACTTTCAATGCACCGCTTGTTCACGGTTCAGCGCTTACAGTCAGAGCGCCGCTTGCTGTCAACTTGCCCATTGCTCCCGGTTCGGCGCTTCTACCAGAGTGCCGCTTGCTCCCGGTTCGATGCTTGCTGGAAGACAGCCACCCGGTTCGGCTCTTACTGTTACTTGGTATCAATGCACCACTTAGTTCCGGTTTGACGCTTGCTTGCAAAGCGCTGCTTGCTCCCGGTTCAGCACTTACTGTTGAAGCGTCACTTCCTGTCAATGCGCTTGGTTCCGGTTTGACGCTTGCTGGCAGAGCACCGCTTGCTCCCGGTTCGGCGCTTACTGGTGATACGTCACTTACCTCTTATGTGCCACTCACTCCTGTATTGGCACTGAATGTCGCAGCGCCTCCCATTTCCAATATGCCACTCAGCCCTGGTTCGGCACTGAATGTCAGAGCGTCGCTTGCTGCCGGTGTGACGCTTACCTCCAGTGTACCACAGTCTTCCAGTGTGCCGCTTTCTACTGGTTATCGTTGCCGCCTATACCAGGTCATCCACCCATGCCAGCCTCTGGTTCTACTTTGCCTCCTATTTCGGGAACTACGTCTCACACATCGGCCAGACCTATTTTACCGGTTTCCTGGGATCCGTCTGCTGAGAGTTCTGCGTCTCGACCTCTTGATTTTGATGCCATCGTTCACGCGGTGGCCGCGGTGTTATGTCAACCAGTCCCAGCTCCGGTATCGACAGTTCAGCCAGCTGGGCCTCCGGCCGTTCCACATCATTCCAGGGTTGAGACTCCTCTATCAGCTACGCCGTCTCCCACTTCAGATGGCACTTCGGCTTCAGATGTCAGCGTGGATGCTGTCGACACACCTCAGTTATTAGTTTGGATTGTTGATAACCTGCGACTACGTCGTAGCAGTTCACCTTCGGACTTGTTGACTTCCTTTGATATGAAACGGTGGGATTTCGAATCTATCATTTTTCGACCTAGTCCCTGCATTACTCAACTGGCGGCTTCGCTTAAAGAGGCGTTTGACAACCTAAGGAAGGTTAAGGATGGGTTCGGGGCACCTCGGTTCAACTTGGCGTCTTCCCACGTTCATGGGTTTTCTATGTTGATTGCCTCGCCTTCTGTGGATGATGACATTGCACTGTTGGGTTCTAAACAAAGAACTTATTCTCCCCTTCTTGGTTGAAGACCGTGGACGGTGCTATTAGGAGGATCCTAGCTCCCCTCAACTTGGTTTTGATGGCGACGGAAGCTGTGGCTATGTCTATCTCGCAGACCGCCTCCGTGGTGTAGTGGTTAGAGCGTCCGCCCGGAGAGCAGAATTTTGCAGGTTCGATCCCCGACCGCGTCATACCAAAAGACGTTAAAATATGGTACTTGTTGGTCCCTGCCTGGCGCTCGGCATTAATGGGTACAGCAAGGACTGGTCGGCTCAGAGTCAGTATAATGTGTCTGAGTGGGGTAATCATGTAATCAGTGGGCTAGCACTATAAAACCAGCTTAAGTCTGGACTAGTACAAGCAGCCGCACATACACACACATGCACGTTGTCATATGAGCGAATTATTCTCAAGCAGGACGTTAAACCCAATTTCACCTCACCTCTGTCTCGCATGCGGGCTTCCCCTCAACAGGCTTATATTAGGGCTGCGATGGTGTTGTTACAGGAGCAGTTCCAGACCATCTTCGATCAGCTGGCCCATTTTTTCTCCTACCTCACGGCAGTTTGGCGCAGAGGCCCACTTCATCTATCTTCGTGGGAGGATAGATATCGGACAGATCTGTTCCGTCAACCTTGGTTAGGCAGATCACTCTTAAACGGGGCTATAAGGGATATAGCTGCTAAGGTTGGACAGGATGCTCATTTGCAAGTCTCGAAGGAGCTGTTGAAGTGTCAACGTCTGCAAGTAGAAGATTCGTTGCGTCAACGGCGGCCAGCTACCTATGTGCTGTCCAACTCAGACCTTTGTTCGGGATCTTCGACCTCTTTTCGAGGAAGAGGTTCCAACAGAGGATGCTGCAACTGTCAGCGCCGATCGTTCACTGCTTTTTCGATCAGCTTCCGGTTCCGAGCAGCCCTCCAATCAGAGGACCCAGAAGCAGTGACTTGATGATATCAGAGCACGATTGGGTACTTCCGCCTTCAATCGTACCTATCAAAGCTTCCCCAGTGGGCGGAAGACTTGGGACTTATGCTGTCAATTGGACTATCTTGGACGATCCTTATGTTCTCTCCACTCTGTCCAAGGGGTTTCAACTTCTGGTCATCGGCAACCCGGTTTCCAGAGCACAGGATGTATCCCACTCGTCAATTGACTGTGCTACAATCCACCATAACACTTCTCCAGAAACTTGCGATCGAATCCCTGTGCTCAGCTCCGACCAACTCGGGGTTGTAATCTCCAATATTTCTGGTCCCGAAGAAGGATTCCGACAAGTTGAGACTCATCTTCAACATGAATGTTTTCAACGAGATGTTTTCTACAACCACCGCCTCATTTCCGGATAGTGTTGGTAGCTTTACTCAAGACCATCATCAAACCGGGGGATTACATGCTCAGCCTGGACCTTCAGAATGTGTACCTTCACATCCCGGACCATCGCAAGTTTCTTCGTTTCGTCTTCGAGGGCACCCACTACCAGTGGCAGGTGTTCCCGTTTGGAATTTCTTCGGCTCCGTGGTTATTTACACGAGTGAAGAAGCCCATCACCAGCTTCCTTCATCGCAAGGGGATAATGTTCAAGATTTACATCGACGATTGTATCTAGGCACAGACCGATCGTGCACTCCTATTACTTCACATGGAGTTCACGATGCAGCTACTTCGCCAGTTAGGTTGGCTGGTCAACATGGAGAAGTCAGAACTGGTTCCTTCGGGGCAGTGTTCGACACAGAGCGCAACAGACTGTTTGTGCCGAGGGACCGTTTCAACAAGATCCGGCGACTAGTTCCCCTTGCATTGTCTCCACCCAGGACTCTTCGCCAGTTACCTCCGGCGCTCCATCCCCATCTCCTCGGGTGGATGGAAGAGTTGAATGTCTGCGGAGGAGTCTGCTTGAGGCCGTTCGTCCCGACTCACCACCTGTACGTGGACGCATCTCTACATGGGTGGGGAGCTCACTTTCTCGAGTGGCAGAGCAGTAGGCTGTTGCAGTAGTTGGTGCTTTCTCCTGGCCTCCTTGTGTTATGTGACCTCATGGTTGTAGAGATTGACAGGGTAATCTGCGGCCTTCCAGCCAACCGTGGGATTATAGGATAAGAATAAAAATTTGAAAAGTTTACTATAAATTGTATGTTTATATACTTATCCTATCTCACGCGATGGATACCCCCCCGACCTGCCCCACATCACAGATTACCAGAAGCGCCAAGACGAGTATGACAGGCACAGAGCGTCACATGATCATCTGACCGATCTGCATGCTTACTGAAATGATTGACAGGTATTGTTATCGGAGTGGGGGCAGAGGTCGGGGAAGGGCAGAGGCCAGGAAGTTTTGATTCAACTTAGCCTACAGCACGTTTCCACACATGGTCGTAGAAGAAGAAGAGAGGTGCATACCGTGAGATAGGATAAGTATATAAATATGCAATATATAGTAAAATTTTCAATATCATTATACATGTACTACTGTTTTCTCTCACCTGTTCACTTTCCCGTTCACTCATTTGCTGATTCATTTATCCTATCACCCATTCTGTTCAACCAACTGCTTACTCATATACCCATTTATTACCCACGTGGTCAACGTATGGGTAGTTGCATACTAATCTCGTACGTCACACGAGTGTCGTATCGCGTTGACCTGTGTCGTAACGACTTGACCTGAGATTCTAACGATTTGATTGGATAACTCATGACCTCTCAGTTAGGTCAAGTTGTGACGAAACTACTTGTTCATTCATAACAAACATGTGAATTCATTCATTCTACAACTTATATGCATTGTGGGAATGTAAACATTGAGAACGTTGCCGTATCGCTGTTTAATTGTGAGTCCAACTGAGACATTATATGAGTCAAAAACATAAATGCAATGTTTCCACCACTGATGTTAGCCGAGTGAAGCAACTGCAAACTAACCAACGGGGTGCTACGGAGTAGTTTACTGTAGAAGGCTGTACAAGGCGAAGACAACTGACATGCATCGTGACGTCGGTTACCAAGGGGACAGACGAGAATGACATAGTGACGTCAATACAGTGTGATGTCATGCAAAAGTGACTACAGTACAAAATTCTTCCGCAACCTCTTTATGAAACCGGTTTCGGTTTGAAACCATAACAATAACAAAAATACGCTATTTGGTCAATTTAATGCATGTAAGACGTGGGTAATAAATAAAATACCACACTCGGACTCATTACATACGAATTATACGAAACTCATGACCTTCCTATGGTTTCGAACCTCGCTTTCGCTCGGTCAGATACCATAAGAAGGACACTCGTTTCGTATAATTCGTATGTAATGAGACCTCGTGTAGTATTCTCTATATACTCACTTGTCTAATCACTCACCCTATAAGTCAGCTGTTCACGAATTCACTTGCATAATAACTTCCTCAATCAACCCTTCATTTCAACAAACACTCACTGACTCATACAAACAGCAAAACGTTCACTCATCCACACAGTAACTCAATCATGGACTCATACATACAGTAACTCAATCATTCACTCATCCATACAGCAACACATTCACTCATCCATACATTACCCAATCATTGACTCATCCATACAGCAACACATTCGCTGATCCATAAAGTGACTCAATCATTCACTCATCCATACAGCAACACATTCGCTCATCCATACAGCAACTTATTTGCTCATCGATATTGTAACTCAATCATTGAATCATCCATACAGCAACACATTTGCTCGCCCATACAGTAACTCAATCTTGGACTCATTCATACAGTGACTCAATCATCCACCCACCCACCCATTCATCCATTCCTTACTGGTAACTTACACATCCACAAGCTCACCTGTACCCTCTACTCCACAGCTGAACCACGGTGGAAGTCACCAGGGTCAACATTACACAGTGCCACAAGACGTGTACAAGGACTTATTGCAGAGGTCACTGCCTTTTGAGTTCAAGAAACAGGTACCAGCAACAGAAATTTCACCTGAACCTTATGTAAATGAGACTAATAAAAAAATGTTTTAGTCCTCCATCCTTTGATTGACATTCTGGAACTTGATAAAGTATTGGTAATCACAAGAAATCTCATTGATGATTTCATTATTTCTTTATTTTCATTTATATTTGTTCATCTGTGTCATTGTTTTCAAAAGGAGAAACATTTTGATGTTCATACCGTTTTCAGGTGAAGACGTTTGGAGAGGCATGTGTGATGGTTCGAGAGCCTGCATTGGAGGTGATGAACTACATACGCAACCTCAACCTAGACCTCCCAGCATCCAGAATTGTTCTCTGTATCCTTGCTGACAATGACTATGATGACAATGACTAACTGCTAAAGAAACACTAAACTCAGTCACGTATACTCACGTATGACCTCCTATATGCATGTGTTGTACAGTGTGTACCACTTTGTACATGTGTTGTACAGTGTGTACCACTTCGTACATGTGTTGTACAGTGTGTACAGTTGTGTAACACTTCATACATGTGTTGTACAGTGTGTACCACTTCGTACATGTGTTGTACAGTGTGTACAGTTGTGTAACACTTCATACATGTGTTGTACAGTGTGTACCACTTCGTACATGTGTACAGTTGTGTAACACTTCATACATGTGTTGTACAGTGTGTACAGTTGTGTAACACTTCATACATGTGTTGTACAGTGTGTACCACTTCGTACATGTGTTGTACAGTGTGTACTGTTGTGTAACACTTCATACATGTGTTGTACAGGATGGAGGGACAGCTTGTTTAAATCTCAACGTTACATAATTTAGATTTTGCTGTAGCATGTCCCAATAGTGTTTGTAGTGGAGATGTATTCCTTATCGTGGTAAGATGGACGGCGTGGGAGCGGCAGAACCATGTCCTTGGCTCACATCATGCACTACTGCGCAGAGGACCAGTGGGTTATTCTACATGCACCATGGCGTGAGTGCTACTACTGAATCATAGGCATGTTAAAGATCATATTGATTGAGCACTCATGTTCTTGTATTATAATATGTGTGGAGACAAAATAAAGATGTTTGCAATTTTTTTCACATATCTCAGGCAGGTTCTCATGCATGTGTTAAAAACAGTATTGGTACAGGCGGTGGGGTAGCCTCGTGGAGAAAACATTTGCTTGTCACGCCTAGGACCATGGGTACAATGTGTGAAGCCTATTTCTGGTGACCCCTGCCGTGATATTGCTGGAATATTGCTAAAAGCAGCGTAAAACTAAACTCACTCACTCAAGGCGGCCATATTGAAAAGAGCCATCTACACATAGGCATATTCTTTTAATCATAGCTCTTGAAATGTATATTAATTTCTCAGACAGGCTGACTGAAATAAACATTGGCAAGATGTCCTTTGCTGACATTTGAAGGTCATTAGATTTTCAGTTAGTGTTTGCTACGAACTACTAATAGACAGAACATCTGAATATGAACTGTTATGACAACTTTTAATCATTGCTGTCTTGGTTTTTACATTTAAACTGTTGACACAATCTTGGTGAGCTTCTGTACTGTGACGCTATTGTTTTAGAAAGTACATTCATAAATCCTTTTTGAAAATTATTTTTGAGTTAAGTATCTTTTAGTCAGCTAATATTGTAACCTATTGAACATCCATTGCAAACATCATATCCTGTGAAAGCAATTGGCTGAATGAAGCTTCATGTTTGTTCAAACAATTGCTGTCACCCCACTTTGTTCAAGACATTTTTGTCTGATTTTTAGTATGGCCACCATAGTAGATATAACAAAAAATTATTTTATGGCCATTACTCAGCCATTTATTTTCAAATGTAATGTAAATTGGTGCAAGAGTAGTAAGTAGTTTTGAACCTGTTGCTTATAAATTCTGACCGCATGCATTCATGTCTCTGTAATCATATTCTCCAAAACAAGTTTCATATCCTGAATGTTAATTCAGAAAATATTTGAGCCTTAGTGCACCAGTAACTTTCGATAGCTGGTTGTTTTTTTTTATATATACTACTCAAAACAAGTTAAGGGTCATGCTATGTCATCATAATGTTATTGATGAGGCTGGTTGCATTATGTATAAATAAAATGGCAGTTTATTCACAACCATTGCAGAGCCTGGATAAAGGCTGCAGATAACCGTGGTGCCAATAGTCATCATGTGGTAGGGTGTTAAAAAATGAACAAATGAAACATTGAGTGCTTCACAGAAGCGCCACCACTGTGCTTGTGAAAGATGATGTTTCATCATGAACAACATGTGCATGTGTTCTTCGTGGGATTAGTGCTGTGCATGCTTTTTTCCCCTATAAAACTTGTAATTGTCTCATTGTTATTGTCACTTGAAATTCAACAATGGCAAGACGTCAACTGAGCATGACAGACAGAGGAAGAGCTCTTGCGTGGCTTCAAGATGGCGAACCTCAACGCAGTGTGGCTCAGAGAATAAATGTGAGTCAGAGTGTCATTGGAAGGTTATGTCACCGGTTTCGTGCCACTGGAACGCTGACTAATCGACTATGTTCTGGCAGGCCTCCATCAACAACTCTCCTAGAGAAGACCGATACCTGACAAATATGGCTCTCCTACAACGCAGAGTAGCTGCCAGACAATTCCGTGACCAACTGAGAACTGCCACAAGTACCCTGGTATCGGATCAGACTGTCATGAACCGACTGACGAGGAACAATCTTCGGGCACGGTGACCAGCAGTACGACCACCGCTCCTTCACCGACACACGACGGCAAGACATGACTGGTGTAGACGCCATGTTCGTTGGCAACGTGCTCAGTGGGCATCAGTTCTTTTCTCCGACAAGTCTAGGTTTACTCTACAGTTCAATGATGGTAGAACTTGTGTGTATCGGCGTCCAGGAGGGAGGTTTGCTGACGTTAACGTCAACCAACGTTTGTGATTTGGAGGCGGGGGTGTCATGGTTTGGGGTGCGTTTTCCTTTCATCAAAGGACACCTCTCTATGTCATTAATGGTACCCTGACCGAAATCGCTATCACGGGAGATTATCAGACCCCTTGTTTTGCAATGTTTACAACGTACCGGCGTCGGATCCATGTTCGAAGGTCGCAATGCCCGACCACACCGTGCCCGTGTTGTGACGGACTTCCGTAGACAGAACAATGTTCAGCACATGGAATGCCCGGCATATTCAGCAGATTTAGCCCCTATGGGACATGCTTGGGACGAGTAAGGACGTCGGCTTCGTAACAACCACGCCCCTCCAAACAACCGTGCAGAACTGGCCCAGTATCTCATTGCAGAATGGCAGACAATACCCCAAGCCTTCTTCCACATGCAACGTCTGGTGAACAGTATGAGACAGAGGTGTACTACTTGTCTTACTGCTCGAGGTGGTTACATCCGTTATTAGTCCAATGTTGGCGTTTGAATTTTCACTTCTGACAGTAGGTCACTTTGACCTTATTGATCAGCAATCACTGACATTCGTGCTGTTTTTGTCACCTGTTATAGTTATCATGAAATGTTGGCTCGAGTTGTTATATGATCGCTACATTTCACTGTTATTTATATTTGTAGTTATGGCCATTTAAAGTTGTGACCCTTAACTTGTTCTGAGTAGTATATTTAACTGTTGACAACATATCCATGGTATCCAACATATCCAGCTATGGTACTGTTGCACTTTTGGTTTTTGCTTTTGTCCAATCTTGGGTCGGCTCATTGGTCTCATTCTTTCCTGTGAAACAACTTGGCATGACATAAGCAAACAAAGCGTACAGATATATTAAAGCAAATATGATCTTTTTTACATTTTGTCCTGTAATAAATAAAGAAATGTTTGTCTGAATGATTCAGCCGTTACTTGGAACCGAGAATACAAGGAAATCTCTCAATCATCCCACAAATCTGGTCGTATTGATCACCCTGCCCATGCTGGGGAATGGCTGCTCAATTTCCAAGCACAAAACAAGCATCTCCTTAAGGACATAAAGGTGAGGGATTGTGTCTTCCCATCTACATAGCATCGTTTGTTTTCTGTCTATTGTATTCATGTCGACATCGCAGATCCATTGAATCCAGTTCATACATCATACCACATGTATCTGAATATTTTGACATATTGTTTCATTAGAATCTATTTCTAATATTTTATTTTAATATATTTAGCCTGTATAGGTTTCCAATCCTTTGAAGAGAATCTTTCTTGGGGTACATATATGCATTTTCTGCGACTGAAAATGTCATGTGACACTTTTAACAGTTTTAATAAAAGATTGTACAATAAATAAAAAAGCCTTTTATTTACTATATGGACCCGACCACGTGGAGTTACCTTCCCACCACGCATGCGTGGTCAATCAGGTAAGCAGCCTAGCCTGAATAATCAGCTCTAGACATTCCAAACTTTCCATAATTGATGTCCAGCAACCATTGTGCAAATTCTGCACAAAATGTGCCGGTATGGTAGGTCAACACTAATTGTTTTGACCGTAGACCCAAAAACAACTGAGATACAGCCTTTTAAAGAGGGAACTATTTCTTCTCCTGAACTTCTTAAAAAGTACATGACTCACGCGCCACCAGCTGTATTTGGAAGATCTGCTCGCCTGTCCAAAACGTGTTCTGGTTCTGTTATGGACGATTTCTAGCCCTCAAATACGATTCAGACACCCGTACCTTTGAAACCAACTGTCCGATTTCGACCAAAATATACCTGTACAAGTGGGCTATTAGTGTCGATTATAACTACCGATTGCAGTAATGTATCAACAGAGGGACATGTGAAATTATATTTTCCTCACTTTAGTTGCTATCTTCATTGGTTCTCTAGGGAACACATTGCACGTTAGCTGTATGTATCTCAAACGTTAGCTGATCAGTTTCTGTTCTACGCTGCATGTGAAAAGTATCACCGTTTGGTACATATCTTCTTCATGATTGTTAGAGGTAATTAAGATAGATGTTTGACATAGGGTTCTTCTGTTTTGAGATTCATGATACCCAAGTGATATTTTTTAATCTAAGAAAAAAGGTTTTGTGATGAATTTATCGAAACCTAAAGACCTTGCAGTACTTCCAGTCGAAGAGCATTAGTGATATGATTCATATTAACTAAAACTATTACTACTTTCATCAGATATGTGACAGACACAATAGGCTAGATAGAACAAAAGCCAAGGAGCCCTCATCGTTGCTTGGAACTATATTTGGTGCCTGTTTTATTTGCACAATGTTATGATTGTGTCTTGTTATTGCCCACATACGTTTGTAGTGGAGTTCGTGCTTACAATCAATTACTGGTGGATTACTGAGCTGAGATTATCAATCTGCATATTGTGAGTGATAACCAGCACTAGTGGTCAGTTGGTCTGGTTTTGTCTTGGTAAACTGCTGAGGATTATTAACCAAGTAGTCAATCACTGGTGTGGTGGAGTCTAGACATGTTAATTGCAGACGTGACATGCTGGGCTATTGACAACTCCTGAATGAAACGACATTGCGGACTCATTTACTGGCCCTCAACTTCCTGTTAGATAACAATATTAAGACTACCAAATGTATTTTACTTACAGATTCAATCTTCCTATTACTGGACAAAACGGGAATCAGCAGAAAAGGGCACTCCACTTCTTGACATTGTGGAATTTGTAAGTACCCATCTATATAAGGGTCAGGATATTATTACTTATTTAAAGTTAGGATCAACATATCTTTACCTTTAACTATATAACATGCATAAGAATAAGCCATGTTTGGTTCAGTGTGTTATAAATAGTGAGGTGTCACCACCACTCATTCCTGCGTTAACAGGGTATGAACCGCATCAAGTTTGCAGCTGACTGTGTTGGAGTGATTCTCAAGGAGCTGAAACAACAGGCCAATCAGAAAAAGTAAGCAGTCATTCCATAGAAAGTGTTTCTCTAGGATCTTGTATGTGTCTCTGAAGTTTGTGTTTTGGGTATTTTTTTCCACATATGCCATGAGTACCAAGTGCTTGTTGTAAGAGCTGGCCCTTGTGAAGATCCAGGTTAGAATTGGTCTGGCAACACATGCTTGACCTTACACATGTGTGGTGATACTGAAGGTGGTACATTAGAAATACAGTATGTGTTGGTTGTTGAGTTTCACACACCTAAATGTTCTTGCATAGAATGTTTGTTGTCAGCCTTTATCTTTGTCCTAATACTTGTTATTAAGATTTATAAGCATGATTTTAATGTTTTTTTAAGACCATCTACAATATTTGGGATGCTGATCCACGCATAGCTGATAATCTCTTTAAATGTTTCTGTACCATTGTGTTTCAGGGTTAAAGTAATGGTTGCGGTTGATGGAGTGAATTCATTATGGGCTCCAACTAGAATAAGAACAGAAGAAAAGGAAATAGTAAGAGACTAAGATCAAAATTTGTTGGAGATTAGATGAATGCATTCATCATACATTTTTATGCGGCACCTGTAGGAGATAATGTCATGTGCAGCACTGACCTGGGTTGGGTTCCCTTTTCTTTACCTGCTGGGGCGGTGGGGTAGCCTGGTGGTTAAAGCTTTCGCTCATCATGCCGAAGACCCGGGTTCAATTCCCCACATGGGTACAATGTGTGAAGCCCATTTCTGGTGTCCCCCGTGGTGATATTGCCGGAATATTGCCAAAAGCTGCGTAAAACCAAACTCACTCTTTACCTGCTGAGGTAACGGCAGCTGTCCCAGGTGCATCTGGGTCTACTGAGGGGCAGTACCATTGCTAGATATGTCAAAGCTATCAACACTGTATTAGCTTTGTCTGCCAAATCGCAAACAGCTATGGATCCAGAAATGCTGTTTTCATGTGGTGTTATTGATATCAAAGATTAAAGGCATATTGCAGATGTTCACAGCTGGCTAAGAAGTAGTATTTAGAATACTCCCGTTACCTTTCCATGGAAACATTGCATAATCATGTAATGCCTACCACTGTGAAACATGCTATGATGTTATAGGTAGTTGTGGGCTGAGAAATATGATAGATACATTTTTAACTTACAGATTTTTTGTTGTGAGGTACATAAACTAGGTTTAGAAAGCTAAGCATTAATGCATGCCATACATAATTCAAATGATATATAAATCCTACATGTAAATAGTTACTGGGGGGGTTATTGGCCATGTCATTATGATACTAGCCTTTAGGAAATGTTTGTCACCAGCAGGCAAGAGACACTGCGTCTCATGTAACATTTCCTTATGTGCGTTATAGAGATTGTGAAGATGAAGAATGTTTTTTCATGTTTGTTGTGATAATGCCATTAGATTTCACACTCTAGTTGAAATATGATCTTCATTTTGCAGGTTCCAGCTTCAAATATATCATTAGTGCATAATTTCAAGAAGATTTTAAGAAGTGATTGGGTGAGTAACAGATGAAGGAATAAATTGAAGACTGTTTAATGTTACTTGGAAATTTCTTTTGTGAAACAAGGTATTTGGGTTTCAATCCACAAGTACCTGGAAGAATCTCAACCAAAGTAAAAAGATATTGCAGAAAAATGTTTTGACACCAATATTGGATAGAAAACCCTATTCATTCATTCACTCTCTCACTCTTGTTTACATATTGATGTGTTGTAGACAAATGGGGTGATAGTATGTACAGTAGATCCCATGGCCAATGATGATCAGAGAGAACACTACACCCCGAAGTACCTACTTGGAAAGGAGGTAAGTCCAAAATGTCTGTTTGACTTGCCTATAAGCACAGCCTGTCTCAGCTTGTTGGTTTGAACTGATGATCAGGCTTTACAGTGACTTACCTTGAGTGCCTTTCCACTGTCGTCAATCCCTCGTAAGAATTGGTTGAGGATCATATTGATGACCAGGTTGGTTTTTTTGCAAAACAATTGATACTTACTATCAGAATATTGGCACATTTACTTCCTTACTGATACTTTTGACCAGCAGGTGTGTTTGAATATGATTCCATAAACATAAGAACCAAATTCAAATTGAAAAAACCCACTTGTATACTAGTTCAAAAGCATGCTTTTTCATGTCGTTGTAGGGCTTTGAGTGCATGGATCCATTTGTCCCAGTGCTTGTGCCATATTACACAGAGAAGGAAGCTTACAGCTGTATTCAATACTTCATTGACATGAACTGGATCCAAACACCTGAAGGTGAGATTCTCACATCAATACTTTTCATCCATGATTAAACTAAGGACAGCTAAAGATAGGCATGAAATAGCTACCTCAATGGCTCTGTCAGATATCATAGTTAAGTTCATATAAATTTTAAATGATGAAGTCATTTATTGGTGGAGCACTTCCTGTTAGTTACATTTATATATAATTTTAAAGATTATTTTGAAAACAGTTGCATATTTTTGTTTTAATCTTGTCTGACTATTTGTCACTAACAGTTTCATTAATGTTTTATCTGTGAAACTTGAAATGGTTTCAAAATGTCAAATGGACAGAAATAATAACTGAATCTAAAATTGTCATGTTTTATTGATAAACCATTGTCTTGTCGTTTCTGCTTCTGAATTAAGAGCCATATTAAATATTTATTGAAGACAGAGGCTCATTACATTGTAATACAGTGTCAAGGGTGCATCATACCTCATTTGAAATGATATACCTTTTCAAATATTTGATCTCCCAGATGTATTACAAAATTAGGAACTCTTAATTATCCACATTGGCAGCCTCATTCTTCACAGATTTGCATAATGTCTGTCTTGTTTTATTGTGGCTAACACAAGATTATGCTGACACTGGCATAAAATGCTCACTCATATGAGTGATACCTTTGAAGCTATATAACCACACAGAAGTAAGTGTGGTTATTCCAGTCCAGATTACTTCTGCATCATGCAAAGTTATTAAAATGGCTCCAATGAACACTTCTGTTTGGCAGTGTAGCATTAAATCACAATTGTCATCCCACAGATTACATCCTTAGCTTGTCAGCTTGCTGATGTGGTTAACCTCTTTGCTCATGTGGACTTTGGTTGTCAGATCTTCACACTTCTTCATATGGAAGTAACCTATCATATTTGTTTAGCGGCCATAAAAGGACCTTTTATGGTTACTTAAACAGACTTATTGATCTGTTACTCCGATATGGTACCTCTCTGTGTGAAGATCTGACAAATTGTTTCCTTAAAAGGTCATGTCAGTAAACTCTTGAGTGAACTTTGGGAGTGAATGCAAAGTTGCTCATATTGGACAGACTGTATATCCACAACAATAATACAGATGAAATAGGCTGATTAACTTCACATTATATAAGGGACTTACAGTTTAGATTAGGCAAAATAAGAGTGAAATATACCATACTTTCACTTAGTTGTCCCCTTGCAACTGTTATGCAACTTGTTTCACATGACCTAAACTGTGGTTAATATTCTCCAATCTTATTCTCTTTCAGGAAAAACAGAAGAGGGCAAGAAGGAGTTAATTTTCCTGAGCAGTTTAAATCCATACTTATTAACAAGAATTTGTGCAAGTAGATAACTTTCTGTGTGTAGTCCAGTTGCTGTAGTTTCTGAAAAGTGTCAGTCAAGGTGCCAAAACCTCACCTGCTTCAGAGATGACCACTCGAGAAGTGTTTACTGAACGTAGAGCATAGGCAGAGAGACCGCTCATACTGTCAACAAGTTTTCCAGAGCAGGCAGTTTACAAGGAGGTCAAGCTAACTGTCAATCCCAATAATGAGGTTGTCAAGGGAATTTGGCTTGGAAGTAAATATGCTGAATTTTCATTGTCACACTGAAAGTAGAATGCTGAAAATAAGCAGGCATATGTTTGAGGTTATTGTGTTTCTACCTGAAGACAATTATCAATGATTTGTCAGACAGGAAGTTCCAGTCTACTTGGAGCAACAATCCTAGATTAGAGGCTGACGAGAATAAGACACTACTGATATCAGTATCAGCCTCCCATTGGGCAAGTGGTTATGATGTTTCATTATCGTTTGTTCATTGTCACATGCCACTGTGCTAATATGAACAACCCTGTAAATAAAGAAATCATATATAAATGTATATTGCATTATGGTTTTATTCATCATAACACTTAAGAAAGCATGGAAGTAATGCTGTGTTCTTGTTTTGCTGCTCATAATGTCAGTTTGGTGTAACCAAAGATATAAAACAACATACAATGAATGCTTCATAATCTTTAGAAAAAGTATCGAAGAAATTCTCGTCTGTTGAGTTTTGCTTGACTGTTGAAAATATATCAAGTTATACCATAGTTCAAGCTGAGACTGAAGTATGATCACAGTGCTGTTGCTACCAGGAACAAAAGTGAAGCATTAAGATGACAGAGCTCATAATATTGTCAATCCAATTTTATGAATTTCATGAATTGTCTTTCCTACATACTGGATCTTGGAATCTTACACTCAAAATGAAGAATCATTTGGAATCATTCTTCAGTAGGTTTTGAAGTGATTTTTGGCTTCCAGAGCTTGCGAAACCATCGCTCCTCTTCCTGCAATTGTTCCACAGATGCTGATCCCAGCAAGATCCTGCCAGTTTGATAAAGTGGCTGGAACAGAGGCCTTATCAAGGACAAACATTTACAACTTTTTTCTTTTTCTGTGACACAGGTATTCAGACTGAAATACATAAGATAAACTTTATTGTCCCGCAAGGGAAATTTGTTTTGCATTCAAAGAGCCAATACAAGCATATAACAACAAATAATTTAAAGTATATATACACAATGCCAAGCTAATCAGAATATAATGTTGAATTATAACATAATCAAAGTTCATGATATAATAATCACTCGTCATAGATTTCACTATTACATAGGACACATGTAACCAATTACCTTATCAAATGAAGGACTTGGTCCAGCAAACACATTGCAATCACCTTTATTGAAACACATTTATCACAAACTAACAGCTATGATGAACTGTGTTTTGTTTTTAGGGTTTATTTAGGTCCCATCTACTAGCCGTATGTTTTAGTTTACTTTAGAAAATGTGCATAACAAACTAGAATTACTGGTCCCTTTGAATTCATTATAACCATAGATTACTTAACATCAGTACTGGTTAGAGATATCTGCAGTACAAGAAAAGCAGAGGGTATACTGTAGACTAGATATTATACTGAGTCTGGGTTGTCATGTCAAATGGATTTTCGAGTCTATATTTCCTAACAGCCACAACCCTACTGAGATACTGCCTTTCAAACTGTAAACTTGAATGTCAACGAAAAGACAACAGTTCACAGATCACATAGTTCGAAAGAACAACATTCGGAATGTCCTAATGTGAATCTGAGTTGACAAATGAAACTATGTGCATGCATATTTCTATACTATCAATCAAAAGTTCACTAGTGTAAATGGAGCCACTTACTTCAGTCAACTGTTCTAAACTAGATTTTGCAAACTATTCCATGCTGTTTAAAGGTACTATTTACACATAAACTGATGTATTGTACAACAAATCTGTAACATTGAAAACATTATTGTCATGAGTTCAATGAATACTGAAACTCAGTTAAAAATTGGTAAATTCTTAACAAAACTTCACACCAAAACACAGTTGTTCACATGCTTTTCAGCAATTTGATGAACGATCCTTGTGCAATTCATCTGCATAAGGTTTGCAGTTGCTTCCCACAAGTGGAGAAATTCATCTTCAATGTAACCATATATACGTAACATATAGTGAGTGCTTTAAGTGAGTCTAAACTTTTCATGGGTAGTATATATACTTTAACATCTAACAAGTCCACCTATTGCTGAAGACATGTCAAAATTTCACAATTTCTGATGGAGTTGGGAATAGGGATACAAAAGTTGTCCTGGCAATAGCAGCACATCTTAATATAAGTTCTAGGAAGGATACAAATCTGCTTTGCTTCCTGGGGAAGTTTGGTAGATTGAGTTGTGGAAGATGTTCAGACACTGAAAAAGATGTCCAGCTGGGTGTTTCACATGTCGGGTCTCTCTGGAATGGAAAGTTTCATGTGTCTGCATGTAGCAATGACCAAACAACAAAAGGCATCATTAAACAGTTTCAGCTTTCTTGCATTTGTGAACACACCTTCAAAGAATTTATTCATTTTGACAATTTGATAATGTAATCAAGAAAACAGGGTCATCACTATCTCCCACCTCAGGGCACATAATTATGTCCATTCATATAGTTACAAGCATTGTCACTAAGGTGACATAATCCCCCGCCGCAAATTATCAAATCAAACTTAAAAAGTAATGAAAGTGAAGGTCGTAATTTAAGATGAAGTTAAATGTCAACAAAAACATGACCAGTCAACCTCTCTTGATATCTGTAGTTGTTCAAACGCACAAATATTTTCAAGACTCACTTTGACCTTGACATAAATGTCTTAATGTATGAAATATGCAAAAACAGTAATAAAGAAATTGCTTATTGAAAAACATTCAAGGGAAGCCTTGAAAGTCTATGAAGAAAAAGCAGTGAACTGTTCATGAGATATTTCACTGACAATCTTAACATGCAGTTTAATATGCTGAAATCTTCAAAGTGTTGCCATGACCTTGAAAATGAGGTGAAGGTCACCAAAATCGACTGGGCCCTGCACCTTCCCTAGATAAAGCTTGTTGCTGAATATAAAGAAAATCCAGCGAATGGTTCTTGAGATATCTCGCTGACAAGCTTAACATGCAGCTTAACATGCTGCAATTTTCACATTGTCGTCATGACCTTGAAAATTAAGTGAAGGTCACCAAAATCGACTCGGCCCTGCGCCTTCCCTAGATAAAGCTTGGTTTTGAATATGAAGAAAATCCAGTTAACGGTTCTTGAGATATCTCGCTGCTGACAAGGGTAAAACGTTAAAGTCCCCTTGTGACCTTAAAATGAAGGTCAAGGTCACCAAACCTGACTGGGACCTTTCTTTTACTGTGATGAACCTATGTACCAAATATGATAAGAATCCAGTCAACAGTTCTTAAGATATTCCACTTCGTACGTACGGACGGACGGACAGACAGAGCCTAATACTATATCCCCTGCTTCGCGCTAAACGCGCGGCGGGGATAATTAATATTATGAAAGTAAATGTAACCTATAACAAAAAGAGTCATATGAAGAAGACAAAGGCACTAGGTGTGTTTATGTCATCAGAAAAACAATCATTAAATGTGGATCAAATACACATAAAAGGTACCTTCTTTAATTTATGTCCCCAATTTTCGACTGAGTAACTTAAGTCGTTTCTGTAAATATTTGCCCCAAATTAGAATACATGTCCCACACTGAATAAAATAACATCAATCAAGGCTCATGATTGCGTATGCCCCAAATTACCGTTAAGACGTCACAAGGGGAAGCAACTCTGAAAAAAAATGTTTATGGCACTAATTTTCAACTCAATCTTGACCTCTTTCTCTTAGATGAGAGTATTCATCAGTTTCTAAAGGAACTTGTCCCAATAGCACGGAGTTTGAAATGCCTTAATGAGTGCATGCAGTGAGAAATTTGACTGATCAAGACAATGCACATTGTGTCAAACACAGCACTAGATCAGGTGTAACATGCAGCATTGTATACAAATACTTGTATACCTCAACATTCAGGTTCACATCTGGCTCCTGGAATTTAGTTTCCTCAGCGTTTTCCAAGGGAGATGATGTCTGTTGTTCTCTGAAATGATTAGAAAAATTGATGCCAAACCAGAAATACTTTCAGATTTGTACTAAACTGGATAATATGTGTTGTTGCAATCATCTTGTGACATTGACTCCCTTTATATCGATAGATTTGACAGGCTTTCAGTGTTAACCTTTGACATTGTATTTCTTGCCTGCCTATAAATTGAATTTAGTTTAAAAATATTCATTTCAAAACAAAGGCATGTTTTGTTTGTTGAACTAGATATTGGCATATTTCCGCAGTTAATGACCTTGGCCTTCATAAACCAGATGCAGTATGAATTCATCAATATTTGATAAAGATAGTAGTAGACTTATGCCTTCTATAAGTTCTACTTCATTACAGACATCTATACACATGAACATTTATTGAGCACCACCTGAATCTGAGGGCAATTTTGTGTATTTTGGTTCAAACAGCCGATCATAACATAGCATACTAGAATGCACGTGTAAAACATGCGTTTCACACAATATCATATAAGCTACAGGTCATATGTTTACATGCTGTGAAGGCACCAAGCACATTGGGGTATAAATTTCATCATTACTATAAGTGCAATAAACTTTTCTGAAATGGGTCCTAGTCAAAAGGGCCGCAAAACAGGAAAGTCAAAAGGGCCGCAAGAAAGTCAAAAGGGCCGCATCAAAAAGTCAAAAGGGCCTCAGACCCCTAGTCAAAAGGGCCCCATATAAATAAAATGATAATAATAACATCTTTTTCAAAAAATATTATAGTAAAAGGTTATACATCTATACAATGTATATTTTATGCATACTAGTCCTGTTTTAATAGATATTTGTTTCAATATTAGAAAGAAAAAAATGACAAACAATAGATGTATGTAATGGTTATATATTTCATTTCAGTATCAAAACACTTGTCATTTTGTCATGCAGCCTTTTTGACCTGTTCCCTAATGACAGTTCTACAAAGTTTCTCTTTACATGGCAAAACATAAACTTTCAGAAAAATATCCATTGGCTATACCAAGTACTGATGAGTTTCTTTAAGTGGCATTTAGAAGCTGTGATGATGAAGAGGAACACTTTTTATGGATAGACAACTTCTTTATTGCAAAAGATATGACATTTTGGTGTAGATCCGAACACCATTATGAAGTGGTGGTTCATACAATCACAACGTTTATTGAGAACAGTGTGACAATCAGATTGATGACCAAGTTATGGTGACCACACTTTCTGACTTTGTTTATACTCACACTTTTGTATATTATATTTATGAATGTATTTTGGGCCAGTGGCCTATTACTGAATGTCTGTCTGTCTGTCTGTCTGTCTGTCTTCTTTTGTGTATTCTTCTCAGATTGCATGTAAACTGTTACCAAATTTTGGTTTTGTTTTAATCATAATAAAATATGTTTTAGTTACCGTTTTCAACACCGATTTCAAATACTGTTGACATGCATTACCAATAAATTTGGGAGTTGATTTAGTACTAAATGAGTGAAAATACCATTTGAAGATGCATAAAAATACAACAAAGCTAATAATGATCTCTGATTAAAAGACAAATATTACTGAAGGTCATACTTGCAAAGCTGGTATTTCTGGTTCCTTTGTCTTAGTTGGCTCAGATGATAGTCAATGCACATGTGTTTTTCAACAGCATGACTGTTTTTCACAGCTCTCCTTTCTTGACACTTTCTGGAAATTTTCTTAATTGTAAGAGCAAGATCAAAACAGTTTGTTGCCTTAGCAAAAAGGACCCCACAAGACTTGGGGATACACACTCTATACTTGGGTAAATGGAACAAAAGTTGACATGTACTCTGACATGTACTAAAGTATGCTGCACAGGCTGGATTTAAATGAGTTAGTGAGTGAGTTTAGTTTTAAACAATATTCCAGCTATATGTCAGCGGTCTGTAAATAATTGAGTCTGGACCAGACAATCCAGATATCAACAGCATACGCATCGATCTACACAATTGGGATACAATGGTATGTGTCAACCCAGTCAGCAAGCCTGACCACCCGATCCCGTTAGTCGCCTCTTACAACAAGCATGGGTTACTGAAGACCGATTCTAACCCGGATCTTCACGGGTCTGATTTAAATGAACTCATGTCTTACTTGAGTACTCAACCTGGTATGACAACTCTTCTCTCCAACACACATTCTGCAGACATGTAACAAATTTCACAGTATCTGGATGCATTTTTACCCAGATTATGGCCTGAAAAGGACATGGTTTATCATGCACTTGAAAGTCCAGTTCACAAAAATGTACACATGGGAAAAGCTCCCATTTCACATGTTGACATTGACAAACAAAACCAGTGTACCATGGATGATGGAACTACTCTATGATAACAGCAAGATCAATCACCATTTAACAATGATTTATAATGAGCTAAATCAAATTTTATATCATTAACCTAATATGTATAGGACCATAAAGGAAAGTTTAAGCATACTCGGCAAAATAGATGATGATTGTTAGGTTCAAAACTGATTTTCAGGAAGATCTTTGGTAATGGTAATGTATTATAGGATGGGGGTTGCTGCCCCCAACCCCTACATCACATATTTTATGTTGTATTTCTCTCCCCCACATGTTATATCCCCCCAATCAACCCCGTGTTCCCCTACAAGTGACCAGCGCCCACAAGCACAAAGCGATCTTTGCACTATGACTATTTTAACATAAACATACACAAGTCTTAATGTTAAGATAGCTCTGTGTAACTCTGCCCAGTCCATTATTCTGTTTAACACAGCACTAATCAACATAAAATGCTTTTATTATTTCCCGGTTATTAATCTAAAACACTAGTCATAATAGTTGTATGAAATGTTTTCAATTTCAAATAGGGAATTTTATCTAATATTCTAGAAAGATTTAGACCCAAATACTGGCCTCTGAGAATACCTAAATAAATGATAATCATGGTAATCGAACAATATATTGTATAGGATTCAAACATTATCTTATGGATGATAGGTCTTTATTTATTTCTTCAAAGTGAAAAGATGATTTTACCTCAGCTTACTTGGATGTGGCAGATGATCACATGACAGAGGAGAATAAAGATTTTCAAAGTCAAAACTGTCTCCTCGTCTTCTTTTCATTCCATGGAAAACATCACACTGGAAAAGAGCCTTACTGTCAACTGTACAGAATCAGTGAGTGATACCAGTCAACAGACTGAAAAAATAAGCCACTTATTACCAATTCAATTCAAACATTTTGAAATAAATCTGCATTAACACCAGCTTGCTAGTCCAAGTATGTAGGAGTTCTCAAAAGAAAAGAGAGACATTCAGTATTCAGAGATTTTTTAATTTGTTAACGCGAACCCAAGAAGTTGCCAGTAAGTTTACAGACATAAATTAGGTTTGGTAGTCCTTAAACATTTTTTATAATAACTCTGTCCATTGATTTTCTCTTTGAGTGCACTATATTGTCATTTTCTTTTAATATCCACATTAGTTGACTGATAAAATTCTTTTCTGAAAACCCTTTCAAACCTTAACTTGTAACTTTACCTCAATGAATAAGGAACAAGTAAAGCTTTATGAAAGTTCTGTCAATAATGACTTAGCACTTCCTCATTGGTGAACAAATATCCACACACTTGTGGGATTTTATCAAACTTTTACTTCTAAACAGATTTTCTTAACGTGGTGGGTGGCCCTTTGTAAGATTTGTTTGTTATAGACAAGGGTCACTCTTTCATTTTCTGCAGTAGTCGATAAGGTTTCATTTTAAATATTTGCCCATCAGGATCTGATAATACTTATGTATTTTGGTGTACTTGTTGATTTGTGAAAAATATGAATCAGTTCAAGAAAAGAAGTCTGATAATCATATATTTGTCATTCTTCCAAATGTTAACTGAAAATAGTGCCATATTTCCCATGTTTCTTTTGCACCTTAACCTTTTGTATGCATATTTTGTCATGATAAACACTTGCGCTTGAATTTGTGTGAACTACAAAAGACAAAATATAGTTTATTTCTAATTAGATTTGCATACACTTCAAAACATATCAGAAATTATCCATAAATTTAAGTGCCTTTTAATCCTGTTTGTGTTTGTGTGTGTGTGTGTGTGTGTGTGTGTGTGTGTGTTTGTAAATGATTATTCTATGATTCATTCCATGGGAACAAGTGCTCTTTATTATATTTAAGTTTCTACTATTTACTTTCTGCCAATAACTGGTTCACTTTAATGGTCTATCACACATTATTTGTTGAAGAAGGCAGGTGAACAGGAACATGGGGAATTCATCTGCAAACCTTTGACACAGTCCCCACCTACAATAGAAGAGTTTTCAAATTTAATCTAACACAAACAAATGTTCAGTGTACATTACTGTACACAAAAGGCTTAAGATGTTTTTGGTAAAAAGAATGAAAGAAATTTCTGTAAAGACCAAAGATCAGGAAACAGTTTCTACAGTCTTTTATAAATAAAGAAATAATTTATTTACATGCATTATCTGATTCTTGCCCTCTTTTCAACGGTGACATACATATATGTTGAATAAAACCAATTCTGAATGATTCATATGTGTTGACAATCATGTATGTCACAATAACAGATATCAAGGCCTCTATATAAGCCCTCTCATGTAGCCTGCTTCTTGGGACTCCTTGTGCTTTAACATGTTTATAATTCCACTGAAACCTGCCAATTCGTTTAACACACAATATGTCCTTTTCACAGGGTGCAGAGTCACAGCATGACATTTGTGAGTCAACTTCACGCTGATGAATTAAACAGGAATAAAATGTATTTGAAAAATTGTGACTCAGCTAACATGTAATTATATACATGTTTATCAGAAACTGAGAACATTGTTCAACTTACCACAGGTTCTTCAATATTCAGTCCTTGTCTTTTTGCATGACCAACAATGTAAGCAGAATAGCTGAAGAAAAATCAACAGTACATTTGGTCTATATATGTGAATAGGGTGATTTCCATTACACATAGTGAGTGAGTGAGTTTTGTTTTACGCCGCACTCAGCAATATTCCAGCTATATGGCAGCAGTCTGTAAATAATCAAATCTGGACCAGACAATTCAGTAATCAACAGCATGAGCATCGACCAGCACAATTGGGAACCGATGACATGTGTAAACAAGCCAGCGAGCCTGACCACCCGATCCCATTAGTCGCCTCTTATGACAAGCATGGGTTACTGAAGGTTCAATCTAACCCAGACCTTCATTGGGTCTCCATTACATAGATCATAATTACAGCAGAAAAGCCTGTTTATGAGTAAATATGATCTTTTCACAAGGAAATAGATGAATTATTTGTGATTTTTCATTTCTCAATATATACATACATTTCTTTGGATAAACTGCAAACATAATTCCTTAATTGTGTAATTATAATCATGAGCATATTGGTAGTATTATTTTGTTATTTTGCCCTCTACTAAAATATCAATGTGTCTGTATATCCTAAATTTGTTACGCTTCAAAGATATTTCATACTGATGTGATTTTTTAGTAACAATTCCTGTTGATTAAAAGAGAAACAAGATGGTATGCATTTCAAATTGTTTTTCATTATCTTTTCAATATATCTGTACTACAATTATATAAAACAGAAAATGAAAATGTTCTTATTGAATAATTTAGCACATATTCATTGTTTCAGTAAATATAATGGCTAGAAATGTATATCATATTTACAAACAGCTAGTTGGTTATATGATATTAGCACATACATTGGAATAATTTTGTTATTTTTTCACATCACAATAAACATCAGCTACATTAAACATGATATTTTTGCCCAGTAACAGTCACACCAGGATTAATTGTAAAATAATAATTATTATTTTTAAATTGTTTGCAATTGGGATTGCATTTCATACTGTATCAGCGAAATGCATATGTTCAGAACACTGTTAAATATCTTCTACCAAATAGATGACTCAATGTAATTATTTCCTTAAACTCATTTGTGATTACACTTTTTTACTGTTTCAGCATAAATATATCTGCTCAGACCAGCATTAAAAGCACTGACCAAATGTCAAATAGATGGCTTGATATATGAAAATAACTGTGGCACCTACCTCTGCTGTGCTTGAGAGGCTACAGGCGTGGCTTCGGGCAGTGCCCTCACGAATTCCTCCTTCTCCTTTTCTGGAAAATCTCCAGCTCTCCTTACTGTCTCAGACCTCCTAGAACAGACACAAGTAGAGACTCAAACTTCAGGCTACTGATTCCTGGGTTTCATTGGCACACTGGATCTGTCAAAATAGATCATTTGCCTGAAGGAGGACTTCACATTTTCACAATGTGCATGCTCTCAGGGTAAGAAATATTCACCACCAGTCTTAACCTCAGTGGCAACCCATTTCCAAGTTTAATCTGCTACAAAAGTCAGGAATTGACGACCATCGTTTTAGGAATAAACAATACATAATTTCAAATTATCAATATTGACATTAAACCTCTTTTACATAAAAACTAGTAATAGTAACATTTGTATTTATATTGGTTTGTGTCAAATGATATGCATATATAATATATTCTTATTTGGGTTAGTGGTCATCACAAAAATATTTCCATTGTTATATGTGCATTTATGAATATTCCATAATTTGTATTTAATGAATTCTTAGACACAATGTATTCAACCTGGCCAAAAGTTTTCAAAGTTTACAAAATAGTTACCAAGCTTGAAAAACACAAAAGAAATACTATTTGGCTGAAACCATTCTTACATTCAATTATCCTTTTGTCCTTGTTTTAGGTTTCCCATTACAAAAGCCTTTTGAAATATATTTTTTACAAATGGCCTATATTATTGGACACACATTTCAAAATAATATGCAGAATTTATAGTTTTGGGGTTTTAAGGTAGAAAAGAAACACAGCAGAAATAAATCTGCCTGGTATTGAATAATTCGTCCGTTTTGACACAGGCACAGAAAACAACTTATAAAGCAGTCTGCATATGATCCAGTGCTATATATTTTTCTTTATAATAATACAGTCATAACTGAACACCACACCGCACAGGCATGCTCTAAGCGCATACAACATGATGGACATAATTACCCTGGATAACCCAAACTGCCTGTGAGGCTCTAGAAGGTTAATAGTCATATATGACTTATCCCACTGGGTACCCATTTTCTTCTGGGTGGACAGAGGCAATCTTGGACAAACTCACTTGCCTGAGGTGAGACAACATGTGTCACGTGTACTTGTTGTGTGGCAGTATAGAAGTCCTAGAAACTCTCAGGAGTCAAGCTGCCAAGGACTGTGGTGACTTGGGCTCTATGCACAAGACCACACACCACCACTCTTTACAACAGAGCGGTACAGTAAACGAATGCCACTGTATTTAACTATATTATATATAGTGGAGAGTTTTCCAGTCTATTTTTTTATTTTCTTAAAAATATTTCTTTGTGAGTAATTAGGTTTGCATGACCTGACATATGCTCAGTCTTTAATTTGCTGTTGAAAACGTACATGGATATTTATCAGTGATGCTTTAAGAGCTGACATTATAAGTTCCAGTTGATACATCATTGGAGTGCATACTTCCCGAAAAGGATTCCACAGGACAGGTCCATGCCTCAGCCTTATTTCATTCCATCTTGTATTTTCCCCCTGCAGTTCACATTTTGTTCTTTTCAGTTCATCCTGGTCTGGTTACATAATTGCACGAAGTCACGTAAGATAGAAACTCGATGAAGCAGCGTTTACAAATTCGTCTGCTCGCGAAATGCGAGCACATGATTTGATGACGTTTCCTGTTGTGACGTCACCATCACCATAGTTTTCGAGGAAGCTTCAAAATGGCCGCCGCATGTTGACGTAAGGAGAAAGTGTACGTATGTCACTCTAGATGTCACATATCAACAAATACCTTAATCAATGTCTTTCTCACAGGTTTAGAAAAGATAGCTGAAACATATATTCCGTGTACATAATATTTTATGAAGGAAATTCATCGAGTGGTCCAGAATCACGATCACCGCGCACCTGCCAAGATTCGCGATCAATCTTCGACTTATTCTCAAGCCTGTTTATCTGTGTATTGACATTGTGTGTCACCCAAATATTTTAACAATGTTTGTGCTGTACATGCCCTCAACGATGTGTGACAAAATGGGAAAATACACTTCAGGAAACAATATTTCGACAGTTTTTCTATACAGAGATGACAATAACAAAACCCCGTTTGAGGAAATGAAATTTGCACAAGATCTAACTTATACAATACACAATAGACAATAGAGTTATTTTGTTTGAAATACTGCTCTTGTTTGGACTAACATTAAATATCATCACTGACATCTTGACTTAATTACACCATGTAAGACAAAATCTTCCGTCAACTTACTTCATTCTTCTCCCAAATTTTGTGACTCAGAAACTAGATCTGGTTCTCGTCATCAAAGGTTCAATATACAAACTCTATTTTTTACTCAAAAGGTAGCTGGAAAAGAACTCTTTTTGGGGGGGCAACAGTGAGAGTATTTTATATCACATCCCCCATAATGGACAATTTATTTTAATGATAATATCTTGATAACAGTTGCATATGTATGCCGGTGTCGGGGTTTTCGACGATGTAAGACAAATAGGTAATTTTTATGTGCAATATTGTTTAAAGTTTTTGTTTTACTAACCTTGAGTGATAACGGATAAATTCATTTATTTCACACAAAAATATCAAGTGTTTCCTACCAAAATTGCGTTGATGACATCATATCGGCAAAACTATTGCCGCTTACGCACATGTGAGGATTTTATGGATTTTCGACGATGAGCCATACTTTTGGCTCCGCACTGCAAGGGAGTGTTGTCATCACATGGCTTCCTATGTATATATTGCCTGTCACTAGTGGATGACTGATGTTACTGAATTTTCGCTTGCGATTTTTTGTTATAAATGTAATTGATTTTGCATTTGAAGTGGTATTAACGATCTTGGGTAAATATTACTGATGTTTGTTTGCTTTTTATATAACTTAACTTCTGGATTTCAGTTGTCAAACTTCTCATGATAGTGACTGGGCATCCGCCCTGCCGATGAAACTTCTTGTACACTTGTGCACTCCGATCTCACACATACTCACCCTGATATAGCACAAACAATGCAGTCGTTGAATTCAGCTCGTGTTGGGATATGTCTATGTGTGCTTGTGTGTGTGTGTGTGTGCATGTGTGCGCACATGTGCATATATGCATGTGTGTGTGTAGAAAATGGTTATCCGTAATGTTGATAATGAAGATTAGGAGGATTCATCATCAGATTATGAAATCATCATCATTATCATCATCATCAAAATAATCAACATTATGAATAACTTTTTTTTACAGTTTTTCAGTTGGATTCCCAGTTCATCACAGTAGGTTAGTAGAATGGCATCAAAGTTAAAGATCAAGAAGAAAAAGTCATCCAAGAGTGCAGCACAAGTTATTCCTTTGGAAGGTAAACTGTTTAATAATGTCTGTTAAAATACTTTTATGAATCATATGTTTATTTTGTTTTGTTTTGTTTTTTGTTGTTTAATGCTGCACTCAGCAATATTCCAGCTATATAGCAACAGTCTGTAAAAGAAATCGAGTCTGGACAAGACAATCCAGTGATCAACAGCATGAGCATCGATATACTCAGTTGGGATACGATGACATATGTCAACCGCGTCAGCGATCCTGACCACGTGATCCTGTTAGTTGCCTTTTATGATAAGCATGGGTTGCTGAAGTGAAAACCAAATCGAACCCAGATCTTGATGCAACACTATTGTGAATTTGTTTTGAAACAATTTAGCCCAGACCCAAGATACCTATGGCCCCTCATTTTTGTTCATTCACAGCTGTGGTATTCAAACAGACAACAGTATCCCTACTTGTAAATGTGGACAACTTACCTGATTATGCAACGTATGGTACATGATATGTTTTCTAATTCATGTAACAGGAAATTTAGGTAGTTTTTTTAGTAACATCACCAATTCTAATTATTTTTAAAGTTAACTAAAAATAATCCTAGAAAAAACTCTTGAGTATTAAGAAACCCTCAGAAGAAGGCTGCTAAACCCGAAAAGCGGTGAGTGAAATGGCCCAGATGTTATGTTAAATGTGAGTAAGGTTTAGAGACTGATATTTTTTTACACAAATTCATTTCATACAATTTGTTCATTTTACAGACAAAAGTCCACCTTTGGTTGTGTCTGGTGCCGAGGATGAAAACATTTTGGATACAACATTGCAGGTTTGTGCTATGGAAATGGTTCAGCTCCTTTCAGGAAAATGGGAAGTAATTTGCAGAGTTTGTCATTATTTTTCAAGCTACTTTTATGGTCATATATGTTATACTAGTTACAATGTTTGAAAGTAAGGTAGATGTGTTAATGTGTGGATACGTATTATGCAAATATAAAATGGATAATGAACACTGTTTAATTGACATTGTGACCACATTTACTAGTTACACTAGTTGCACATATATTTGTAAGTTTCAGCTTAATTAAATTTGGGACATAACTTTTGTCTTTCCTTTTGGATAATTCTCGTTTTTTCCTTTTTCATGATAAGCCCATTTCTGGTGTCCCCAGCCGTGATGTTGCTGGAATATTGCTAAAAGCGGCGTAAAACCAAAACTCAGTCAGCTTTTTCATGATATATTTCATCTGATGATCATTAACAATTCTGAGGTTAGTACATTTCAAATGATTGCAAGATTTAATTGCTTTTGTATTGTTATAAGTCCCAGGATGAACCTAGCAAGCCTGCACCCGAAAGTCCAGTCAGATATAGGAAGAAGAAAAGGGATAAAAGCATAGAAAAGAAAAAGAAATTGGAAGCCAAGCAAGAAGAAAATGGCGATAAAACTAAAACAGAACCTCCCAAAGAAAAGGGTTCACAGGTAAAATTAATTCTCAGTTCTATATATTTTAATTTCTGTTTGAAGATGATATGTTTAGAACAGAATGCTAGCCTCTGTCTATGAACAACAGTTTTGTCTGCTTCCAAACACTATTTCATCTGTCAGTCCCACTGTCAATCCATCCAAGTTGGAAAAGGACAGGATGTTATTTTAACTGTTCTATATACAAGGCTCTTATATTTATACCTTCCTCAGTGCGTTTTGATGGCAAGCATGTTGGAGATATTTTTTTCACTATTTCCAAACCCATGAACACAATTAGAATTATTCTTCAGTATGCAGTTCATTCTTTGTTTGGATACCTTAGAATTACCAGAATCCTATGCTGGTTGGTTCACATCTGGCATGCCACATCATCTTTTGGGGTTTGTCAGGACCAAACCAAGGTTTATGGGACTCACTATAACTGTAGACACTCTACATCACTTCAGACCTTCCTCCCAGGCTGACAGACCATCATTCAATTAAAATACTTTTCAAAGCAAACTTCTCCCTAAATTTGAACACGTGATACTGTTCTAAGTGGCAATAAACCCCCTACTCACTCACTATGTTCTAGGAATGATTGAGTTTATTTTTATGCCACACTCAGCACTATTACAATGTTGTCCGGTAATTCCGCACACCTAAGCACATCGATCGCAACACGGCAACTAAAATCTCTTATTTTTTGTGGTTTACGTGACTAAACATGCTAGTATGCATCATATTTACCTAGAAATATAAGTTTTATTGACAACTATAAGATTCTAACGCTGCATTATGCCATACGGTTGACCTTACCGGTGTTCTGACGACATCGCTTGCTGTCCGGTAATTCTGCACAGCAACTGATGCGCATAACATCCAGCTGGAGATCCGAAGTATGGAAGCGTATTAGGGCCAGATTATTTTCAAAAATCACTTCATCAATGTATGGAAGAGTGTTTCATATTAAATCCAATTATGAATAATGAAGAAAAAGGTTAAAAAGTCTGAAGAAAACGAAATTTTCATAAAACTGTCAATTTATCTGTCAATTACTGTTATATTTTTCCTTATCCTGACTCATGCTAAATGCTTGTCTCCTTCTTCTTGCAAATGATAGTGGAACACTTGAAATCCCTTGAAGTTCCCTTCTAAAAAGCAGACATAAAATCATCACTCACCCATGAGTAGTCTCCCTTGCCTCCTTTATCTCCCTTTTTGGTCACATGACAAGCTATGTTTGTCACTCTCTCCTTCTTCGCCCTTGATGACGATTGTGAGAGCACCTGGGTCCCTATACGGCACATATCCTTTTCTATTTTGGACCTTTTACATCTAAATGGCAGCTGTATACGTTTTTTGGATTGTATATTATCAAATGTTTTGATATTATGTCTAAATTATACGTTGTTTGCCATGTTTTTCATCTGGTTTACAATTGATGAAAACTCGTTGTAGGTACCGGCTGTCTGTGGCTGACCCGCATATATTATGTCCTGATTGCACAACTAGATGTTCTTCCAGCTATCGCTGTAAACATTGTCAGAAACTAACTACTTTTGAATGTAATAACTACCTTTTTTTTCTCTTCATAGACATGCAAAGGACTGGGTAAGAAGGTATTCACAAGTCATGTCTGGTAAATTGAGTGATTGCCTTGATAATTGTGTGTTAGCTCCTGCTGCTGATGTTCATAATTCCAGTGTCTTGATGAGCGTTTTACGAGGGTAGGTCGCTGTTCCAGTGATGAACTCCGTCTCGAATAAGTAGAGATCTTCGTCAACGGAGCTGTCCTTATCGCAGACGAAGAAGACGAGATCTTCTTCAGCGCAGAAGAAGAAGTCTACAGCTCCTAAG